TATCCAAATACTCAATTGGAACACAGAGAAAACGCTAACGCTTCAGAACACGTTGACGATCTTTCCGAAATTCTTTCCTTTACTGCTCAAAACCCTTGCAATAATACATATACTGGCCCAAAAGTTGGTTGCTTGATCATCTTCTATCTACCCCCAAAAGGGGCATATAGAATCCATACTTCGAATCAGAAGTTCTCAACTATCCATACCCTCCTTACGAGCCTTCTACTTGGAACGACCGTGATCACTACCAGGTTTTTGAACATTGACCACCTGCCGCGGAGACACTCATTCTTTCTCAGTCACGTACTAGATGTATCATCTTGCTCTGTACCTCTCCTCGATCACCAATAACTCCGGCCTCATGAATTTATACACCAGGTCTTTAAATCTCTCCTCCTAACAACTCTCGAACAAATCTCTACTTCCTTCAATACGATACTAGGTTCTCCCCCACTTAGGGATCAAACTATCATCAATTGGCGCACAAACCATCCCACAGACTGTTTCCACTAGCAACATCGCACCTGCCCTTGGAAGGTGCTATGCAACGCCCGATAATATCCTTTAAAGAGATCAAGCAACCTCAAATACTCTGAATCTTAGATGAAATCCTCAGGAGCTTCTCATCATGACTGCCTCTAGTCGTTCAAAGTCTCATACCATCCCAATACCGAACACCTCAACTGTCCAGTAATATCACTGACTCTTATACTGAAGCAATAAATCATCATACTCCGCAACCTCGACTTCTCAACCCACGTTCCAACACATGAATCATCACGAGAACAGGGACTCCACTCCCATACTCAATACCCATCATAGACAAAAGAGCCACCGCCCTGATATACTCGTCTGGATTACCCGTTGATACCGCTACCACACGCCCTAATATACTCAAATAGGGTGCAACATGGTCCTTGACCACCTCAGTCCCAACCGACTACATGCTCATGATATATCCTTACCTTACGGCAGACATGCTGCCTGATACTCTGGTGGAAAATCGACATAAATGTCAATCCGCAGAGTTTTACTCCTAAACCCCAAAACCGAAATCTCACACCTCTTATGTTTCCCACTAGAAACAGAAATAGCACCACTCAGATCACAGAAGGTGATATCTCTTTTATCGCCTGGTTGCTAAACTCATACCGCAATCCCCTATAAACGTCATCTCTACTTATCCTTAAGTTTCGCGACTACATCTGACATCTTACCAAAAATACTTTGAAAGGCTCTCGACCTCCTTCTCAAGGGATGCCTCTTCGAACTCAATCATGGCCCTCAGGCCTAAAACCCCATCGCATCCAATTTCCACCTAATTAATCATGACCGGATAACCGGAGAACCACAAGCATGATTCGCTACGAACCATGGTACTCAGCCCATGACATCTCTTCTCAATCTGCTACGATGTATGGTACTCGAACCATAACATCACCCCTCAATCTGCTAAGATGCATGGTACCCGAACCATGACATCACTCCTCAATCCGCTATGATGCATGGCACTCAAAGCATGACATCACTCCTCAATCTGCTCCGATGTATGGTACTCGAACCATGACATCACTCCTCAATCTGCTATGATGCATGACACTCGAACCATGACATCACTCCTCAATCTGCTCCGATGTATGGTACTCGAACCATGACATAACTCCTCAATCTGCTCTGATGTATGGTACATGAACCATAACATCACTCCTCAATCCGCTATTTAGAACCTTCAGGATACTCCCTGTATCGAGTATGGGTCCTCTGATTTCGGTAGTACTACCTGCCACATCTACCCATAGTTTCCACACGGAACATCCCAAAGCTCCTAAGTAGCTACTCAATCTTCTCGTTCACTAACTCCGTCACGCGTGCTTGCTTCTCAGCAAAAGGCTCTCAGGAAAACCATCTGAAGACAGCAGTCTTGGAATACGCGTGGTTGTGCCCATTACAGAATCCAGTTGATGATGATGTTTTTGACTTTGAGAATCCATTTATTATTAATTTTTTTTAAATCAAAGATTAAAACAAGAAAAATGTCAAAATTGAGTTTGCAGTCAAACTGTTTACGACCATAAACTGAGTTTACGGTTAGGTTTACGGTCACATGTTTACGGTCAATGAAGATACACTGATTACGGTCTATGAAGATTAGTTTACGATCTATGAAGATGCTCTGTTTACGGTAAAAGATTGAATGATGATTTGACACCGAGAACTCTTCCAGCGTACACATCTAACTAGGGTTACTCCATAGGCTCTTCCTAGGTTCTCACACTTCTCCGCCATTAGCTGCTAAAAAGCTTCTAATGAGGCCAACCATCTACCTCCTGAATATCGTTATATTCACTCAGTAGCTGACTCCCATCATCGAGAGTTCCACAAAGAACGAAACAAGCAACATTCGGGCATCGAAGCATCTCCTTCAGCATGTAAAACCTCCTTAGATTATTATTATCCACTTACTTTCCTCATACTCGAAGGATATTACCGAACTCTAACAACTTCGCCCCACATGGCATCAGGCTACCCTCTCGGCATGCTCCTCCTATGTTCATATAGACACCTCTTCTAGATTAATCCTCTACTCGAATCCCCTAAAAGGATTCCTGCTGAACACTCTTACTCAACACATACTCGAAAACACGTCACATATAACAACAACTCCTAGGATAAGGCATCACAAATCATGCCACTCTAGTCCTAAAATATGAAATACCTAGCCTGACTCTTGCATGCATAATATCTCATAAAATGTCTCATAAATATCTCATAACACAAAAGTGAGGGTATTTTAGGAAATCACTGTTTGGGCTCTGGCTGATTGTACACATTGCTCTTTCTTGTTTTTTATTTCTTTAAACTCTTATTCGCTTTAGAAAAATCATTTCTTTGAAAACCTTTTCTCAATTCCTCAGTTTGAGTCCAGATTTACCCGAAGGTGCATCCGAATCCCTCAAACCAAGGCTCTGATACCAACTTGTAACACCAAAAAATTTCAAACTAAAATTTTCATTTAAAATCACTTAATCTTAAAACATTTTTCATAAAAATCTCATTTTTGATTAAATTACAAAACAAAACTCCATATTCAATTAAATAATAATCCAGGATCCTCAAAAACATAATTCTTCCTCTGGTGTGTACAATCGAGCCGGTGCCGTCTCGTGATCCTGAGAGAAACCTGAAACACATAACACATAACACCATAAGCATGAAGCTTAGTGAGTTCCCCAAAATACCATGTACAACACATACGCCTTTCCAGGCCATAGCTCCATGGGATCTTCCGATCCAAGTGTCTCAGGGGATTTCCATCCCATAACTCTGTTGACCTTTCGGTCCATGCTCTATTGACCTTCCAGTCCATATCATCATACTCATATCATAACATATTACATATACAACATACATCATATTTTCATCATACACATAAGAGCTTCTGGTCACACATAATTACCCCATCGGGTAAGGCATAGTGAGAAGACTCACCCGGCAAGCAGAAAGCGGTTATCTTTACACTTGAATCTCGGACTCGCCACTGCCTAACACATAAGGTAAATATCTCTAATTAACACTCGAAGTCTCAAATCTAATTAAACCGGCGATTACTCTTTCCCTCTCTAATCGGTAGTGGGTAAAAGACCATTTTACCCCTCCAACGTCTCTAATACTTATGTTGACCAAACCCCAAAGTCAATAGAAGTCAACTGAAGTCATCGGTCAACTCTGACCAGACTCGTCGAGTACACAAGGGTGACTCGGCGAGGCCATGTGTGTCTTCTGACTCCTCCAAGGCCTCACTTGACTCGTCGAGTGAGCCTTCCACTCGACGGGTTTTCACTGGATTCGAATCACGAGGCAACCCGAATCCACTCGTCGAGTCTTCCCACGGACTCGACGAGTTGCTCCCATGACAACACTCATCTGACCTTCTGAGGTCAGATCTGATCCTCTAATCCATAGATCTGGCTTCCTTATGACCAATAACCACGTAAAGGTCGAGGCTTGACATATATGCAAAGCTCACAAGGCTTTCCTTGGAGAAATAGCTCCTAAAATGGCATCAAAGTGTCATCCCCTCAATGAACCAACATAAAGCATACAGAATAAGGATTTATGGACCTCTATGGGTCCAGATCTGGGATCTCTCACACAAAGGGACGCTATACTCATCACTACAAGCCATAGAAAGGTGTAGAAACCCTAAAATCACCAATCTTAACCAAAACAGAAAAAGGAATTTTATTTGATACCTCTACAGTGAAGATACGAGCTCAGGAACTCTGAATCAATAACTCCCTTGACCTCCCTTTACTGGAAATGACTTCTCCCTTGCAAAATCACACCAAGAATGCTCAAAAGGGCATTATCTCTGTCACTCTTCGCTCAATCTCTCTAGAGTATCTCTCTCTGGATTGGTATCCATACAAGAGGGCTATAAGGTCCTTTAAATAGGGCTCAAACCCGAACAATTAGGGTTTCCCTTAACAGCGCTGACTCGGTGAGTCCAGATACCCGACTCGTCGAGGCCCTTCATAAAACAGGTCAAAAAATCGCGATCCTACTTGACGAGTTGAGGCGTCAACTCGCCGAGTCTCTTTATATCCCAAAATAAAATACTCAAATTTCCAGTCCTAGATATATGGATGTTACACTTGGTATCACATGTGACTATCTGGTGGCAAGACTTGGGGAGAAAGCAATGGCCCAGAGTCAGCCATGTCACCCCCTTCGCAGCAGCATGTTGCCGACTTCTAAACCCCGTAACTTTCGCATACGAGATCCGTTTTTGATGTTCTTTATATCCGCATGTAGGTGGAGAAATAATCTACAACTTTCATTTATACTGCGTCGGCTAATTCTCGATCGATTTTAAATTTAACAATATGAGAATATTACACTGTTAACGACCGTGTAAACTTCATAACTTCTACATACGGACTCCGTTTTTTACTGCATTTTTATCGTTAAGCTCCGACTAATGAGATATTCAATTCTCATTTAGGTCTTGTCATTGGGGTTGTAGTAATCACAGTCGAAGTAACTGGACCAGCTGAAACTATTATTGGCTTTGTAGTAGAAACATTCGAAAGAAATACCTTTCCCACCACCTTCGCATCAGTCTTCATTTCTTGGCTTTCTTTGATATTTTCCCCTGCCTTCGTAAATTCTAACTTCTTTTCTCCCCCTTGCATCCCTGTGAAAGCAGGTGGGGCATCCGATACTGCTGGAAGAAGGTTGGATATGCGAACAAGAGGTGATAATTGTTTGTGCAAGATTGCTTCGAATTGCACAAATTTCTAGGATAAAAATTCCAGAGTAATGAGAGAGGATGACATTGGTTTGACTGATAACTCCTTCAGTTCCTTTAGCAAAGTAACCAATTCATCAAAATGTTTTGCAGTCTGTACAGAAAGATTGATGACCTGAGGATTCATTGTTTCATATAGCTTGACAAATCTAGTGACATCATTACAGATAATGTCAACTTTTTGATTGATGGATGCATAATCTTGTTGTACAACCTGAACTTCCTTCTGCATATCTTCCCGAAGTTCTGCAATTTGTAGATTAACATCTTCACGAACTTTCTTTACTTCTTGAACATACAAAACATGCCTTTCTCTTGTGACAGCTTTCAAGTCCTTCACTTCGTGTAAGAAATCCTTTCTTTGAGAACTCATTCTATTATCATTTGTTTGATCATTAAAATCAACTTTCTCTAACACCCTTGCTTTAGATTCCCTTATCATCCCAGAAACTTTGGTTGTAACACGTCCTTCAAAGACTTTCAACATAGAATCCACCTCCAAACTTGAAACAGATGAACTACCTTCTATATCAGCCTGAGTTTGAAAAATCGAGCTCAACTTTGAATTTTGAATTTTGAATTGCTTCATGGTCATCAACATGTGATCTGGAAACTCTTCTTCTGTGTCATCAAACTTTAATGCTTCAAAGGTTCCTCCAAAACCTTTAGTATCAGTTTCATTTTCCATTGTTTCATCAGCAGGTGAGGTTGTTTTTGGTGGATCGGTGGATTGAGATGAAAAGAGTGAAGTAAAAGGGGTATTGATGATGTTTTCGAAAGTAGGTGAATAAGTGGTAGAGGTAATTGGAGGTAACGGCACAATGATTTCAGAAGTTGGAATAACAATACCTTGATCATCACCCTTCGTAGTTTTTGGACTCTTAATCTTTGCATTTTCAGAATCATCAGGCTTCGCATTATCTAAACCCATAATGACATTTGTACCCGTATTAGATATGTTTACATTGATGTCATCAGCCTTCAAATTTTCACCAACCAAAATTGCTTCCGGAGTGTCAGGAATGACTTCTTCTTCATCTGTTGAAATATTTCCAAGAATCAACTTTCGTAACTTCTTGGATTTCTTCTGTTGTAAATGCTTTGCCATGTTTTCAGCCTATCATTTCTTCGAAGATGGAGAAACAGGCGCTGAAACCTCCCTGATAATAACCCCTTGATGTGTGACATGTGATTTACGAACAACATGAGGTGAAACTTTTTGCGAATTTTTAGATTTCACCTTAAGTCTTCGAGAAACTCCAGTTTTTGAAGGGATAGTTTCTTTCTCTTGAGTTTCGTTAATTATAGGAGAATCAACCATTGTATTATCAGCAACTGAGACATCTTGTGGAATAGAGTCGTCAACATCTGCAGATTTATTTTTAGGAGATTTTTATGTCTTCGTTTTCTTGACTGGTTTCTCAGAAGAACCAAATTCATCTTTCTTTACTTTCCTTGATTTCTTCTTCTCATTCCAATAGAATACCAGATGAAACTGTGATATCTATTGTTTGTTTGTATGCCAAAAACAAAAATTAGTAGGATCCACATTCTTCAACATTGCATCAGGAATTCTTGCAACTTTCGGAAATATATCCACATCATCAACTACATCCTTCGGAATAGAATATATACATGAAAAGTAGCCTTCTCATCATCACTAGACACCAAAATACCTTCTTTGTTGTAAAAATATTGCAAGATCAAGCTCAAGTATCTTGCACACGAAATGTCATGCTTTGCATCGATATTTTCAATACTTTTCTGGAATTCTGCCCATAATTATGAACCGTAATCTACTGGTGAGTCATAGTATAGCCCTGCAACCATGGCATATACTTCCATTCTTCCTTTATCAAGACCCATTGTTCGTCCTGTTAAGCATCTTAGGAAGATACCAAACAAAAAATTCCACATACTAGGAAGACTTGACTTCTTGAAATCGCTAATTCTTGATAATTAAGGCTGATGTCCCATCTCATTGAACATATGAATAATTTGAGGATAAGTAAATTCGTCAAATGGTGGAGTATTGGGGATATTCAAAATTTGACAAAAGAGTTTCTTGGTGAGTTTGACCTTTTTATCATTGATGAGATGAAACTCAATTGCATCAAATGCCTTAGCAACAGAAGCAGTTGAACCAACCTGAGACAACCAAGAGATTGGTACAGAAAAGGAGTTGAACGTCTTCGTGGATAATACTGAACTTTTCAAGGCAGTCACCATCATCTTCGATTCGTCAGGATACTTTGATACATCACCTTCAACTTGATAGTTAGTACCCTGGATCTTCATAATGGGCATGGAAGTTAATTCACCGGTATTTTGTGAAGGATCAACATGAACATTAGCAGTCTCCATTGTTAGGGTTTTTGAGAGTTTGAATTTGTAGAGAGAATTAGGAATTTTCTTTTAGAATCGTAAAGTGATAAGAGACTCATGAACCCCCCTTTTTATATGTAACCCTTCCGTTTGAATTAAAAGCGGGATAACATTTAATGAATGCTGACATGGCACCTTGAAAATCGAACCACTACTCCGTAGAAATAGCCATGCATCAAAAAGTAACTGTCCTATCTCCGTAAAAGTAGGATACGATACGATACATCATTGAAATACAACCTGTTTGTTTGCCCCAAGAGAATTGTAACCGTCGGACCCCTTTGGATTGAGGTTAGGCTCTTTCACTTTTGGGATGTAAAGCGAAGTCATATGCCAGATGTTTGAAATCATCAGCCTGAGCTGGTATTACTCAGAACCTCAAGGATTTTGTGAGTGTAGTGTTCCAAAGAAAGTTAGATAAGAAACAAATTTAAAAAAAAAATTGGAATTCTGTGATGTCAAGATTTTATTTGACATAAAGGAAATTGAATCCCGGGAAAAGATTACTTCATTAATTATCAAGAGAGATAATCAACACCTTGTGTGGTTTCCCGTGAAATACAATCGATAACTTGTTGAAAAGTTTCGAAGGGTATCTTTTGTAAGGCCTCATAGGTGGCTTCAAAAATTTCGTTACATATCAACCTAAACATAAGGTGATCAATTGTAACAGAAATTACTTGTTTGACCAGTGTAGTCAGTAACAAGTTGGTATTGAAAATTTTTAAAGTAACAGGAATTTGCTAATTAAACTCACATGGAAATCATATTCATGAAAAAAATTACTAGATCTTGTTGGGTGACCAACATCTTGAGGTTCAAATGTTTGATCAAGACCACACATAAGAAATGAATATGATTTGGAGTTTTAGATACCATGATTGAATCAAAATAAGTAATTGTATCATCAAAAGAAACTAATTCAGAATTATATGCATGTAATGGAATATTAAAAGATTCAAGAATATTACGTACCTTTGTGGTCATTGGAGACTTATCAGCTGTTTTAGATACGAAGCATCTTCCACGGACTTCGTATTCCTCTTCATCTGAATCTTCCTCCATCTTAGCAAACATTTCTCGATGAGTTAGGTTTTGCATTTCATCATCATCTGATCCAGACGACCAGATTTGATACGTACCTTCCTCTTCTTGTTCACCATGAGCAACCAATGAGAGATTCTTTGTCTTTGTACGTATCTCCTCCAACTTTTTTACATAGTATGCTTCGTATTTTGTCTTATTCTTCTTCTCTTCTCTCTTCCTCAACATGCAGTCATTAGCCAAATGATTAGGCCCATTATAGTAATGACAATCCAAGCCAGTATCTCCCTTCAACTTTTTCTCAGTTTTTCCTTCAGCAATCTTCGAATCATTCTTCTCTTCCTTCTTCTTCTCATCCACAACACTCTTTCTTCCAAAATTTCCTTTTGTTTCCAATGACTTTGCCTTCGAATTGAATGACTTTTTGAAAAACTTTTTCACACGATTGTTAGAATAAAAAGCAATCGCTTCATCATCAAAATTCATGATGAATCCTTCGTCTTTGTCAGAACCCTCTCTTTCAGTTTATATTTCATAAATTTTTGAAACCAATGCCAGTGGAGCACCCAAGCTTGCCTTTGTCTCTTTAGCAATTTCATTCACTTCACTTTCATGTGACTTCAATTGATTGTAAACATCATTCAGAGTTGATGTATGAAAACTCTATTGATTTTTAACCATCATGTTTACACTAAGCCATTATTTACGAAGACCCATCACAAAAATCAAATTCTATTCCATGGCTGAACGGGTGATTCCATATCGGTTGCAACGATATATTAATTCATTAAGACGCTCATAATAAACTTCTATGGTTCCAACATCTTTTTGCTTGAAGTCTTTCAGTTCCACTAGACATTGTTTGACTGAAGCGATTTTAGTTTTCTCACTTCCCTGGAATTTATCCTTCAAATTGTTCCAGATCTCCTTTGCAGTAGTACACGATCTCACGTAATTGTATACAACAGGAGGCAAAGCACCTTGCAACTCCCTCATACATCTTTTCTCCAGTTGCTTCAGACGAGTGGTTTGATTTGCATCTTCAGAATTTGATGATGATGATCCGATGGACTGAACATTAGTAGGAGGATTTACATCACCAGAAATGCAATTCCATAGTTCTTCATCCAGACCATTAAGATAGTCTTGCATACGATCTGCCCATTGATCATAATATTCGGGAATCAACATTGGAATTTTAGTGGATGAGCCTAACAAATGAGAGAATGAAGTCATTGAATTGAGATTGAATGATGCCATTGATGAACATAAGAATGCTTTGAGGATTTGAAGAAAACTTTGAGAATTTATCAACAAACAAGATGATTCAAGTCAAAATCACTAGCAGAATACTCGATTCAATGATTCAATAGCAGAATCGAATCACAGACTGAGATCTAAACCAATTTTTCACTTTTCTCAAAAGTGCGGAAACTTTTAAACTAGACAACTGATTTAAAAACTTAAAAAAAAATGAAAATCAGATCAGAGATATGATTCCTGCTCTGATACCAATTGAGGAAATCGTGAATTCGAGAATGAAATTAATCAGAGTATAAATCTATGAATGTATGAGAGATTTGCACAAGGATGTAAATAAAATATGTTTTCAGCTCAATATTATGCTTTGTGTTTACAGAGAATTCTTAGACAAAATCTGGAAAAAAAAAAACATTATCTACTCCTCTAGTAAAGACTCCTATTTATAGGAGAACAAAACATACGAAAATATACTAAGGACTATGCGTGAAGCTCTCTTAATACATTGCCTTAGTAAAATAAATTCATAACATACGAAGACATGAAACACTTCGTATGACAATCTACACCCTTCGACTTATTACAACATTTTTACTCCTACACTAAGCAACCTCATTATTTTCTTTTGGATTTCCATGCATGTAACCCATATTTCCATGTAACCATCACCTCATTTAATCTCTCCCCCCCTCTCTTCTTCTCTCGGCCAAAACAACACCAACACACCCACACATCTCACTTGAACACTCTCAAAGAAACTCTCTCTTTTCTTCACCAAGTTTTCGAGATTAGGAAGCTTTTCAAGGAGATTACCCCACATATTCATCATCTAAGGTAAGATCATGCTTAAATCTATGATCTAACTCGCTTCTTTTCATCAAAAATCACCTCTTAATCCATTCAAATTCATGATCTTGCATCTTAGAACCCTCTAAGTTCGAGATCCATCCAAGAAACTTGCTAGGACCGAAAATAGGAACAAACTCTTCTCTTTTCTTCTTCAAATCGAAAACAACAAGCAAAGGTGAGTTTCATACCCCTTTCTTTTCGGTTTTTATGAGTTTTATGGGGGATAATACAAGAAAATGTGTAGATATATGTGTATATGTATGCTATGTGTGATTTGATGCATGTATGTGTGTGATTTCATGTGTTTCGTGATGAATATGTTACCAAAAAGGGTGTAAACCCGAGATCTATGATATAAGAAAGGAAACAAACAGAAGCTAAGCTATCTTACATTAATCAAGTCGAGAATAATAGCTTATAAGATCACGATGAACAAATTCTAACATAAAACGCATTTTTGGGCATTAAATTGTCAAAAATACAAACTTGGGGTACAAATCAACAAGTCACGGTTTCTTGAAGGTTGAAAGGGTCAAAACAGTTTCTATAAATATTTTTCTGAACATTAGG